GGAATCTGTCCTGTTAAACTGCTGTATGGTCTTGGCCACCATGCTGCAGCTCAGTTTCAGGGTCTTGGCAATCTTCTTATAGCCAATGCCATCTTTATGTAGAGCAACAATTATTTTTTTCAGATCCACAGAGTAATGGCTGTGTGTTGAGTTATTTTGAGGGGACAGCAAATTTACACTGTTATACAAGCTGTACACTCACTACTGGGTGTAGTGAGTACAGGGGTGTACTCACTTCTGTGAGATACTGTACATGTATGTGTGTGTGTTTATATATACATATAAGTAAATATACACAGTACATACACATATATTATGTAAACACAAACTTTTATTTTGGATGCGATGAATCACGATTAATCAATTTGACAGCACTAAAACAAAAGTATAATAATAATTAACAGCACCTGATAAAGTACTTGAGTATTTTGATTGGTACAAAGACAATGCAAAAAAATTGCATTTCTTTAGAAGTTCCAACTGACTTCCTTTATCAGTCGAAGACTTTATCAATCACCATTTGAATAATAGCTTCAGGTGAGCATGAGGAAATTTAATCAGGTGAGCACTGAAGAAATACAAAGTATGCAGCCAATCTATTATTAAACTACAAGCACAAACATATCTAGAGTTTGAGTGACTGCTACAGAGAAACAGGCCCACTGTGCTAATAACAGAATATACTTTATTTGTGTGGCTTTGAAAATATATAGATATATATAAATGTTTACTTAGCAGCTGAGGAAACAGGAGTCACCATGTGTTTCGGGTTAAATACACATTTCCTCTTTAGAGAGTTTAATTGCCAAGCTTGGCGCATTCTGCACAGAGTAAAGAACCCCGAAAAGGCAACTCAGAAAACCGCACAATGAAAATGATAAGCAGCCAAAAGGCTTAACATGTGTCCTTAATTTCATGCTCTGGACCTTTACTTTACTTTACTTTTAGTCATTTAGCAGACGCTTTTATCCAAAGCGACTTACAAATAAGAAAAAGTAATTAAAACTAAAAGCTAAAACTCTATAAATACTATATATAAACACACATTTAAGAAAATAAAAGAAATTAAATAAAAATGACAAATGCATACGAAAATAATTTCCCGAATTTTCCATATGGCTCTAGACAACAGGGCCCCGCATCTCTCAAAACAAAATTTAAGATCAGCGCAAAGTAGACTTTATGATTTGTTTAATGGGCGTTTTGATGTGAACTATACTTTATACACACTGCTGCTTTCCAGCAGGGCACTCATGACAAATGAAGCTTTTTAATTCAATTTGGAATTTGACAGAGAATTTCAGCCATTTTTACTTGACTTAGGGCAGCTGTTGTGGATGATGACCTAAAGTGTTTTGAACAATAGATCGATGTGGTGTCATTTTTCTGAATCTAGCGGAGGCATGTCTCGTTAACAGCAGAGGTGAACCAGAGATTATTTGGCAAGCCAGTTTATGGTTGACGAACTCAGCCATTTTTGACTTAGGGCAGCTGTTGTGGATGATGACCTAAAGTGTTTTGAACAATAGATCGATGTGGTGTCATTTTTCTGAATCTAGCGGAGGCATGTCTCGTTAACAGCAGAGGTGAACCAGAGATTATTTGGCTGGCAAGCCA